GCGCGAGCGCCTTCTCGGAGGAAGCAGGTACGAGCCGTACGGAAGTTAGGATCTCTGTCCAGGAAAGGGGAGAAAAGTAATCCGCGCCTTCCTGATACACTTACCGGCCCTCGAAGGGCTCCCTGCCCGGGTGTGGCGTGGTGGGATAAGTGCGTGGGTGCGAGTCTGTGTGCTCAACTCCAGAAAGCTTCAGCGTGGTTTTGGTTTTAGGAAAACAGACCTTTTTAACTGCAGGTGAAGGTGGTTTGACTTCAGGCTGTACGGGGACTGACATCCTCCCGCTGAAAAAGGAAAAAGAACGGGGATATGTGCCTGGGGAGAGGGCAGAGGGGGCAGTTCAGCAGTACGGTGTTAAACTGTGCTACAGGACATGCTTGGGAACATGATGAAACAGTGTCCTCCACGTCTCTTTCTAGATACCTGCTCTTTCAGCTGTCAGAGGACATCACTGAAGATGAGCTGAAGTCTTTCAAGTTTCTTTTGGGGAAGGAATTACCAAAATGCAGGCTAAACCCTAAGACTGTAAGCATTTCTTTAATTTTTTTTAATTATAATCCATAGAGGCATTTGGGTTGCTCTGAGGGGAATGAGTGTCACTCTTCTTACGGTGAAAACACTGTAAGAAAAAGGATGCAGCTGGAAAGCGATTATAGGCTCTCCAGCGCATATGTGACTTGTCTGTGCTGCTGTTATGTGTGGCGTTTGCAGCAGTGTCACAGCCCAGAAAGCAGGGGCCAGTCCAGTGCCAGGCACAGAGGCCATTGTGTCCGAGCACCATACAGGGCCTAGGGGAGTCAGTGGAAGACTGATGAGCACATTCACTCATTTTGCCCAGCTGTTTTCTTTTGGCTGCTTTCTAAGCCATTATCAAACACAGAAAATCACCCGCTGTGGCTATTACTTTATGCCTTTGTTCTGTTTATTTCCAAACTCAGAAAATATGGATCTAAGGAGCAGATCCTTGCCAAGACTAAGGCCTGAGAGCTTGGAGTTTACAAATAGCCTTGCAGAAGATCCAGCTGCTCTTGCAGTCTCTCAGTCTGCAGTTCTGACTGCTGGGTACTTTGTTCTGTCTAATGAAAACTCTGAGCATCTTCCCTCTTTTCTTGGAGGTGATACTGTGACCATCTAGTGATAGCTGTTCTAGTAAATTTTTGGGGTGGTCACTGTGCTCTGCTGCTCACTGTTTGGCAAGAGCTCCTGTACCTTGGGTCCCCTTTTGCTTCATAGTGATCTCTACACCATGCTTGCATGGTTATACTCATTTTCGCCATTGCTCAAGATGGTCACTACAGTTATTCTTGTGTTTCACTTAAGTGCACAAAGTAGCCACTGGAAGTCAAATGAATGAAAGCAGTCATTAAAAATGACTAAATTGTATGAATATGTAATTACACATTCCTGTATGATCACCATTAGATCTCCTGGATTAGATCTTACTCGATCTCGGATCTTTGAGCCGCAGAAGGGAAATGAGTATGTTTTGAGAAGATGTTTGTACTTACAGTACTTGTAGGTTTTGTTAAACTAGGTTTAACTGACTCAGCTGAAGTTTCGGCTGAGCTGCCAGTCAGCTGGACTGACTCTGTGGGTTGCATGTGCTGTCAGTTCGTTAAAGCTTAGGTGCACATGCTGCAGCTTCCCTCCTAATGGCAGGATGGATGTGCGCTAAGAGCAAACTACCTTTCTGATTACCCAGACAATGCTCGACGTTTTCATTGAGATGGAGAAGAAGGGGATTTTGGGAGAAGACAACCTAAGTATCCTGAAGAGTCTCTGTGCAGAAATTAACATCAGCCTGTTGAAGAGAATTGAAGAGTATGAATTAAACGTGTTTGGTAAAACAAAACAAAAAGGCCTCTTTCCCATAGTGTTTTGAGGTGACACATAGGTATCATACAGGAATGACAATGAATGCTTTTCAGGTGAAGAAGAGATGCTCATCACAGAGGAACACAGGGGCAGCACAGGAGGCCCTCAAGGTAATTGAAACTCTCAAAAAATTAATGTTTAGATTTTTCGCTCTTCTTCAGCTTTTGGACTCTCTGCACCACTTGCATCTTGCTTCTTTACACAGGTGCCTCTCTAAAAATAGTGATCAAGTATCCAGTTACTTACTTAATTGATCACAATACATTTTACTCCCTCTTAATTGATTATCTGGTGGTTTATAGCTAACAGGAACAGCTGTTCAACCACAATTCAGTGGTTTCAGAGAACAGTTTTACCCTGGGAGGTACTAGCGGAGATGGAGAATAGGAGCAGAGCTGCTCTCCTTTCTCTAGTGCTACATTCTGTACTTAAACTTTTTTGTCTGTACTCAGCCCATGCCAGATGGCCGGCATCATCTGTGGCATCTGATTCTCCTGCCAGTTGGAATCAGTTTTCCCAGGTAAGTCTGTTTCTTAGAAAAATCGTTGTTTTGTCTTAGAAGAGATCATCCCTCCATAAGGTGAACAGTTAAAGCCCAACAGTTAAAAGCACTGTCTAGAAAAAAGAAAAATGCACCACTCTGTAACATCCTTTATTCTGAAGCTAAATCACGGGCAGCAGCTGCCGCAGTGGTAAAATTTCAGAAACATTTGTAAAGGTAGCAAGATAGGCCGAGTATCTTACAGCAGGAAATACACAGCTGGCAGCTGGCTGGGCACGGAGGAGTCGGTGAACGCAGCACCCTGTGTGGGCTGGGCAGGATGATGTGGGTCGGAGGGTGCTGGCATGCTGTACACAGACTCCAGAGGTGGTGGGGCAGTGCATTGCCAGGTCCTGGGAGCAAAACTGCATGGGGAGAGCTGCCTAGAGAGAAAGCCAGCTGGCTTCTTACCCTACTGTGCAACTAGCAATGGCTGAGGAGCACCTGGAGGAGAGGGCAGTAGTTTCACCAGTAGTCTTTATTTTCAGCAGCTTGAAGCTTACAAAATGACTAGCCAGCCCCGTGGAGTGTGCTTGATCCTGAATAATCACAATTTTGCAAAAGCCAGGGAAGCAGTGCTGGAACCCAAAAACATGAAGGATCGGAATGGGACAGATGTGGATGCAGGTACGGTAAACATTAAAGAGGTACTTGCATATCTTCAAAAATGGAAACCTCATTTCTTTTTCTGTACTAAAGGTCTGAATTTCAGTCTTCCCTTTCCAGGATACTTTTGTTGTAGTGGCTGAGTCAGCTCTGTTTCCTGTGCTGACAAACAGTGGTCAAGTCATGAAGCTTTTACTGGCTGACCCAGAACAACAGCATTTCTTTCTTTTACTGAGTTTACTGCAACCTTAAGCAGCAACCTCAGCCTGGGCCTTACAAGCTAGGCTAGCTTTGTGTTAGCCTTATGCGTACATTGTTTAACATCCAACTTAAAAAAAAAAAAAGAGAGAGAGAAGGGGGATATTGGAATTTAGGGTCTTGATTACCTTGCTATTCAGGGGCCCTGATTTTAGCATGCTGTCCTGCAGCAGCATTCATTTCAGGTCCTGTAGTCTGTGAGATAGGTGTATTTGCACTGCGTGCCAAGAGATAAAATCCATCAATGGGCCTTCCCTGACTGAATTAATCTCCAACTTAATTCAGGAGTGGAATGCAAGGTTTCTCTTTTCTGTGACACAGGTACTACCCAAATGGGTAACGCCCTCTCCTCTGGGGTAAAGCAACTGCACTGCTCAACACCTTTTGAGAGATGAAGGGAGTAGCTGTAAAGTGGTTGGGGGAAAGACAGACAGCTTTCTTAGTAGTTCTGCAAGCTTCTCAGACAGAGGCAATAGTAAACAGGAAGACTGTGAGGAAGCCTTTTAAAGAGAGCTAAGGGAACTCATTAGAGACACAAAAA